GGTTCAACAAGGACAAGTGCAGAGTCCTATACCTGGGACGGTACTGTTACAGGCTGGGGACTGATGCCTGTACCTGGGACGGAAGAGTCCCAAGCACTGTTACAGGCTGGGGACTGATGGGCTAAGCAGCAGTTGGGCAAAAAGAGACCTGGGGATTACAGTGGATGAGAAGCTGGATATGAATCAACAGTGTGCCCTTGTAGCCAAGAAGGCTAACGGCATATTTGGTTGCATTAGGAGAAGCACTGCCAGCAGATCTAGAGAAGTGATTATTCCTCTTTACTTGGCACTGGTGGAGCCACATCTGGAGTATTGCGTCCAACTCTGGACCCCCCCATTACAGAAAGGATGAGGATGCACTGGAGAAAGTCCAGTGGAAGGCAACAAAAATTATTAGGGGGCTGAAGCACATGACTCATGAGGAGAGGCTGAGGGATTTGGACTTATTTCATCCACAAAAGCATGAGAAGGGATTTGATAGCAGTCTTCCACTACCTGAAGGAAGATTCCAAAGAGCTTGGAGAGAGGCTGTTCTTTGTAGTGAAAGGTGACAGAATGAGGAGCAATGGTGTCAAGTTGCAGTGGGGAAAGTCTAGGTTGGATTAATGATGTTAAATAGTGAGTAATTTACTAGTAGATAAGCTTTTGCTTATCGGATAGTTGACTAGTCCTTAAAATCCTTAGGTTGGATATTACGTACAACTATTTCACTAGGAGGGTGGTGAAGCACTGGAATGGGTTACCTAGGGAGGTAGTGGAATCTCCATCCCTAGAGGTTTAAGTCCTGGGTTGACAAACCCTGGGTTGACAAATCCCTGGCTGGGAATATTTAGTTGCTGTTGGTCCAGCTTTGGGCAGGGGGTTGGACTCAATGACCTCCTGAGGTTTCTTCCAACCCTGTGATTCTATGATACCTACCTAATATCATTCTTTGATAGGGTAAGTCTGATACAGTTTGTTCTTAACTAGGATATTCTGTTACTTGTTTCCTTATCTTAAAAGGTGCTTACAAATTTATTGTTTGCTCCATTATCTTTCTGGGTACCAAAGTCAAGCTGACTGGTTCACAATTCTTTGGGTTGTCCTTATTTCCCTTGTCATAGATAGGTATTATATTTGCCTTTTACTAGTCGCTTCCCCCCTTGCTGCCCCTTGTCACAGATAGGTATTATATTTGCCTTTTACTAGTCGCTTCCCCCCTTGCTGCCTCTATCAGAAAGAGGCAGCAAGAGGAGGGGGGAGAGAGAGAGGTGGGAGTGCTTCAAAACAGCAGCACCAGGTGGAGCCAGGGCTCCATGCGGCGCTGCCACTTTGAAATTGCTGGCCCCGTGCTCCCTGCAGCACTTTCCCTGGGGCGGCAGTTACACTTCAAAGGCAGAGGCTCCCTTACTTGACTAATTGAATCGTTGATGCAAATTGCATTGACAATTTGATTAGCCAGTAAATCTAAATTTAACATCCTTATTTTCATGACATGCCAGTGGAAATTTCAGCAGTATTTTCTAACCCACTAAAGGTACATGATGAATTTCATGATGGAGCAGAAAGAGAAGGAAGCATGACAGACTTCCATTGGCTGATGCTACCAAGTAAAAACAGCACAGCCATTGATGCTGTGTAGACCAGCACTTCTGATGCAGGGCCACAAGCACAGACTGGAGGGATCACATTATCAAGCAAATCCAGGATGAACCGCAGCAAGATCAGAACTTTCTTATGAAGAAAGCTATGTTTCTGGAGCTTTATGAGTATCTTGCTCCAACAAGCCAGCATAAAGACATATCAAAGAGAATTCATTCTTGCCGGTCCAGAAGCAGGTTGCTGTAGCAGTCTGGCTACCCCAGACTGCTTCAATTCCATTGCCAACCAGTTTGCTGGTGGAAAATTAACTGTGGTAGAAGTTTCTGATATATGATTTACTCCAAGTTGGTGGGCATTAAAGATATTCCTGATGTCACTGCTGACAGAACAGGGTTTCTTAAGTGCCCAGGGGCATGGCAGTGCACTTAGGAATGACATGACAAACAATGAAGTGAGGGATGTATCACAGCATGGGTACATATAAGGAACTAAACGAACTGTGAATTGCTGTAGTTAGCTGCACAGATGAAGTGTTAGCTTAGTCATGTATAATCATTCCTCATTTATTTAGCTTTATTATCTCAAATCATGATTGTATGATGGGCTACAGTAATAAACTTTCTTGATGACACAAAAGGCTTTATTTGTAAACATGTCACTTGTTCTTTCAGTCTGATTCTACTCTATTTACACTGAGTTTCGCTATATTAGTCATTCAATCGCTGAAACTTTTTTTTGGGGGGTGGACACAAAAGGGGCATATGAACAATGTAGCCATTACTGCATTTTTTGTTAGTCCTTCCCTTCTGATGCAATAAATAGGCCTTCCCCAGGACTGGGCAAGATGCAGCCCCCAACACTTTGACCCAGCCCGCAGACTGCATCTGGCCGCTTTCTATTTATATCCTCCTACCTGTGCCACTGAATTTCCAGGAGGTGGCTTAGGCAGCAGAATCCTGTTTAAATTAGGGATGTAATAGTGTACTCGATTAACCAATAAGCAGAAGCTTCTGGGATAATGATATAGACTACACACATTCCCCTGCCCCACCAGTAAATTTTTTAGCTGGCTGGCCAGCAGACTGGCTCAGTCCTGGCTTGCAATGGGTGCAGTACCTACCCCTGCTGCGGCTCTGCATTTAAAGTGTAATAGGAGCTAGGTAGGCAGGTAGCCGATCTCGGTCCTAGCTCACGCCAGGTGTGAGAGCTCAGACCTTCTCTGGACAGGGGCTACTGCCACCCTGCACTGTTGCCTCTCTATCAGAGGCAGCAAAGTAGGGTGAAAGGCAGCTGGTCCATGAAGGGAGCTGGTTTTTTTTAACTGCCTCCCCTCGTGGACCAGCTCCCGCCTGGCCCCCCACACTGCTGCCTCTAATACAGAGGCAGCAGTGCTGAGTGGCAGGGGGCTTCGTGGGAGCGGGGCTGGAGCACACTGGCTGCTGGCCCCGCCCCGGGTACTATAGAATAGTCAAGTAACCAATAAGAATTCATAAGGTTAATAGACTATTCAATTAACCAATATTTAACATCCCTAATTTAAATAGCTCCCAGATGTGGCACTACCTCTGCAGGGGCTGGAGCTACCAGCCTTAAAATAGCTTCAGCAACCCCAGGTGGCTGCCAGGCTGCACAGCAGCAGTGGGGCTGGGCACTGTGAGCCCTTTGCTATGTGTTTAATTCAAAGCTTCTGGCTCCAAAGAAGTCTGGGAGGAAGGTAGTCCCAGCCCTTCCCCGCCTGTCCCAGGGCCTGCCCCTTCCAGGGGTGAAGCCAGCCAATGAGGCCCCCCCCCCTACAAAAATTATTGCCCACCCCTGGCCTGCACTGCCTTTCACCATCCTCTTGCTTCTAATATCTTTGTAAAATGGAGTCTTATTACTTTTTATGTCCTTAGCTATTTAATCCTGTTTTGTGCTTTGGTCTTTCTAATTTTGTCCCTACATACTGTGTTCTTCTATACTCATCTTTCATAATTTGCCCCATTTTACACTTTTTGCATAATTTTTTTTTTGGAGTTTTAAGTCACTGAAGATCTCCTGGTTAAGGCAGGATGGTCTCTTAACATACTTCCCATATTTTTCCTATGCATTGGGATAGTTTGTTTTATGTCCTTAATAATGTGTCTTGAAAAAACTGCTCTTTCCTCTGAATTTTTTTCCTTTACACTTGCTTCTCAAGGGGTCTTATCTATCAATATGTTGAGTTTGCTAAACTCTGCCTTCTTCACATCCATTGTATTTATTCTGCTGTTTTCCCTTCTACTATTCCCTTCAAATCATTAACTATCATTTCATGATCATTTTCAACCAAGCTTGCCTTCCACCTTCGAAATCTCAACTAGTTCCTCCTTATTTGTCAAAATCAATTCTGGAACTTCTTCTCCCCAAGTTGCTTCCTCTATCTTCTGTAATAAACATTTGTTTTCAATGCATTCCAGAGAACCTGCTGGATAATCTATGCCGTGCTATAGTACTTTCCCAACAGATATTTGGATAGCTGAAGTGTATTATCACCACCAAATCGTATGCTTTGCATGGTTTTGTTGTTAGTTTAAAAAAAGCTTCATCCACTTCTCAGTTAGGTGATCTACAGTAGAATGCCTACCATGACATTACCCTTTTTTCACTTTAATCACCATTCAGAGGCTTTCCTTAGTTCTGCCTCACACTTCTCTCTCAACAATACCAGAGTATGTATAAGACAACACAATTCTTGTCCTGTTACTTTAAATCTGTTTAGGACAATCTTAGATATAGACAACTGCACAACAGGTCCTTGGGGATTTAAAAGTTAAAATAAAGGTGGTAGAAGGCAAGCTTTCAGGTCAAGAAATGCATGGATATAGAAAATGAAAATACGGTAGAGGCCATCCATCTATTAGGGTTGTAGGACAAGCACCTGCTGTACAAGCTACATCCCAATGTAATCAAAATCATAACTTAATTTGCTGACACTGGCAAACATTTTAATCAAGAGTGGATTTTTTGTTGTTCTTAAAGATATTCTCTAGCTAAAAACAAATTATTTGCAGCAAGTTATACGGCCAGTCTTATACAAGTGGTCACACTGAATGATCACAGTAGTTCTTTCTTGCCTTAGAATTTATGAATTCTTAGTTCATGTGTGTCCAGTTAGCTCCAACCTAGTTCATAAGAAGGGTTGGAGCGTCCCTCTGAAGCAAAGGATACTAAGAACAATTAGAACTAGCTAGGGAAAATTCTGGTTTTGAAAGGAGTTTACCATAAAAACCAAATCACAGGAAATGGGAATCTTTAGGCCTAAGTCCTACTTTGCTTCTAATATAGAGTCACCTGATTAAAACATTACACACCTACTGATACATTTTAAGAGTCTTCTTTTAAGTTAGACAGTAAAAGCAACGTTATCTTGGAGCAACTAGTTAATAAGATTCAGTCATTACCTTGACTTGCAGCATGGGTTGGAATTCCCTCACCAGCTTCATTGAAGAATCATAAATATTACTGCCAATTTTCACCCATTCCATGAGGGGTACAGGACGAAAATCAGTATGGTACAGCTCAGCATTCAACCAGGAGGCCAGATGGTCCAGATTAGGAAGGGTAGCACTCATGCCTACTATCTGTATGCTGTTAGAAATAGGAGAAGTATTCTCCTTTGTCTGTCTATAATGGGTTAAAAGAAAATGAAAAATAGAACCTTCAGCAACATTCTGGTGCAAAATAGCAAATCCTATTTATCCAATCTGGGATCCTGATGCTCAAACAGTACACTGAATACATGAAGAGTGAGCACTCTCCTCGCAGCATACATTACAACAATTACTCTGGTCATAAAATTATGCATAATTAAAAAATAATGTGGCTGCAAGGTTTAGCCTCTGAAGGCACTTACTGCCACAATATATATGAGGGGGAAAAAATAAGATTTCCTTGCCATTCATTTTAAGAATTCAACTTATGGAATTATGGAAATAAAAGGGACAGATGTTTTTTCACTATAACTTTCATAATCTTAAGTATCTTATTTCAAATCCACTCCATTTAGACTAAAGTTTTCAAAAACAGTCATTGAAAGTCAGGTTCCTTATTTAGGCAATTAAATAAGTTGCCTCATTCTCAAATGATGAGCATTCATTAGCTACAGTTAAATTAAAGAAAAGCAATGGGTGTTCAGAACTTCTAAATAAGGGGCCTGATTTTTCAAATGCCTAAATAAGGATGTAAGATGTAAAGCTCAAAACTTATTTAAAAAAAAAATCTGTGTAAAAAAACTAGAACTATTTAATACACTGACCAAATGCATGTTGACCCATCCAAAACCCACAGAATATAGGATAGATTTTTTTTGAAAGCTTGTCTACACTACAGAGTTAATTCGAGTTTAGCTTAATTTGAATTAACTATTTCGAATTAAGCTAATTAGAATTAACGCATCTACACACACAACCTATTTCGAAATAGCGTTTTGCTATTTCGAAATAGCACTTGCACACTGAGTGGACCCTGAACCCAAAGTTAAGGCTGGCCAGAAACAGTGCCGGCAGGGCATCAGGTTAGGACTTAGTGTGTTGGGCTGCTGCCTGAGGCTAACTGAGCTCTGTGCTTAAAGGGACCCTACACCCACCCCGGACAGACAGTTCTCAGGGTTCCCCGCTTGCTTGTCTACCTCGATGAGGGACAGCAAAGCAGTCCTGTCTTGGAGTGCCCTGAGTGCCCTCACTCGGGACACCACAGCACTTGGCCACATGGAGCCAGAGCTGCCCCTGGGCACGCTGGTGCATCTCGTGAGGTCATTGCCATGAGCCCAGCTGCACTTGCTGCAGGCTGCCTTCCAGGGGGTCCATTGGGGGGCTGTCAGGATCCAGGAGGCCCTGAAGGAAAGCGTCCACCCCGAGAAGCCCTCAGAGCCACCCCGGTCCTCCCCACCAGGGGCTCGTGCCTCATTCCTCCCTCACTTCCTTTCACTTACCCTTCTCTAGCCCCCCTTCCTGATGTCAAACAAAAGACACGTATGTTCGCAAATAGAAACTGAGTTTATTGAACAAAACTGGTGGGGATGAACCTCTGGGAAGACTGAGAAAAGGAGGTGGGAGAGGGGAAGAGAGAGGGTGGGAGAAGGGAGGGGGAAACCTGGGAGGAGGGAGCTGGAAGGGAGAAACCAGGAGAAGGAGGAGAGGAAGTATCAAACTATGGTACGCCATATCTTCAGTACTGTGTACAGATGTGATCTCCTCACCCCAGAAATGATGTTTTGGCCTTGGAAAGGGTTCCGAACTAAAATGATGAGGGGTTTGGAACAGGTCCCATATAGCACTGAGGCCAGGGTCTACCCCTTTAATGGCTCGGGGGCTGGGGGAGAGGAGAGTAAGTTTTCCTGGTTGTGCCCAGAGTGGCCACCAGGGCTCCCTGGGAAGGGCTGGAGGTCCCCTATTTCGAATTAAGTGCTGTATAGACACTTAATTCGAAATAGCTATTTCGAATTTGGCATTGCTTCTCGCAGAATGAGGTTTACCAAATTCGAATTAAGTGCTCTGCTATTTCGAATTAATTTCGAAATAGCGGTTTGCATGTATAGACACTATTGAAGTTAATTTGAAATAACAGCTGTTATTTCGAATTAACTTTGCAGTGTAGACATACCCTAACTTGCTGCACATTCTACAGGTCTTAACTGGCAGACTGTAAATGCCCAACCCATATACCAACATGAAAAGCTCCACAATAATTACAAACACAAATTGTGTCCTAGAACGAGCCAAATCACATCTGGTATGAACTGCTTTTTCAATATAATTTCCATTACACACAATTTCCTTTCTTATAAAGTTCACAAAAGCAATGCCTAGTCTCAGCCTTCCACTCCTTCTTAGGGCTTAAAACTTAGAGTAAAAAAAGGGCTCTCTATTTTATTGTGGGGTTTATAAGTTTTATGGTTTAGTACAGAAGACACATGAGATAACAGTTTTTTTTAATCTTTTGTTTGTCAAATAGTAACACATAAGCAGGTGGAATAACTCAGCAGAAGCTATAATCAGCTAGTGCTTTTCCTTTGGAAATAATATTTTGATTTCTTAATTATAAACAAACAAGAAAAAAAATTTAAATGATTTCATTTTATCTCTGTCCCACAAAGATGCAAAGTCTTTCTCTGAGCTATGTCCTTGTCTACCACAGGATGCCTGATCATATCCATCTTTCACACACATCAATTTTTTGGTGAAATCTTTTCGGTTGTAAAAAAAAAGTCTCCAAAACAAGGCAACAGTGATAGAGATACCATCGCCTGAGAATGAAAAATTCATCTACTTTAAATTTGAAGTTAAAGCTTCATCCCAATTTCTTTTCTTAGAAAATGAATTTTACATCAACACAAATTAAAAAAAATGAGGAAAAAGGTTTTTTACTACAATTACAGCCTCCTGATGCAATAAAACCTTAATAACCGAGGGATCCTAGATCAGAACGCTTACCAAATTCTTGAGCCAACTCATATCTCCAATCCCTCAAAGAGCAACCTGAATACTGAAGCAACCCAAAGGTCTACCCACCTTTTAGCAATTTTCTCTGTAACAAATCGAACTTTGGTGAGCAGGAGTTCCAGCAGATATCCTCGGTGAGAATCTCCCAGCATGTGCAACTCATCCACAACCACCATTCCTGGTGAAAAGAAACACTGCAGATATTATACCCACCAAAGCTCATAGGGAAAAAACAATAGAAATGTAGCCATGTTAGTCTAGTCTAGCTGAAACAAAAAACAGGACTATGTAGCCCTTTAAAGACTAACAAACCATCTTGTTAGTCTTTAAAGGGCTACATAGTCCTGTTTTTTGTTTCAGGGAAAAACAAATCTCCCATCACTCCTTCAGCACCATATTCCAGATGAATAGCTGAAATTTACAAAACTCCCAAGCATGCCAGTGACATTTCTGCTATATCTTCTCTGATACTAGTGAAGACAACAGCAGATCAGTTTCATAACATTATATCTCTAAAAATTCTTTTTTTAAAAAAAAAAAAAGAAAGAGAAATTTGATAGTATGTTTGGTGGTATCCAGTTACCATTCATCTTTCCAAATTACATGATCTTTCTAACCTTCACATCTCACCAAATAACATTGCCCTCAAGGCCTGTCTACAGAGATAGTACAGATAGTCAATCTAAAGATGAAAGTGAGGGGGTGCGCCCAGTACACAGCTCCAATAAGAACTGGCTGAGCTAAGGCATAAGAACAGCAATAATGGCTCAGACCAAAGGTCTATCTAGCACAGTACCCTGTCTTCCAACAGTGACCAATGCTAGATGCCCCAGAGGGAGTGAACAGAAACAGGTAATCATCAAGTGATCCCTCTCGAGTCACCCATTTCCAGCCCTAAACAAAGGCTAAGGTCACCATTTCTACCTTACCCATTCTTAATTATTCTGGCTAATAGTTTAAATAGCTAAAAGCCAGCAGGAAGCTACAATTTCTTTAGATTTGTTCCTCACATTGAAATTAAACAATACTGTAAGGAAACTTCTCCCTTTCCTGTTTACTGAAATGCTAGTGACTGCACAGATTACATAATAATTAAACTCAAATCAAATTGTTCTGAACTGCCTTAGGCAGCAGAGACAGCTCTGCCAGCAGCAGGAAATGAGTTTCTCTCAATTTCCAGAGGCAATCTGAGCTTGCAGCAGGGGGCTGACACCAACAAAAGGAACAGCTCAAGATTGAGATGGAATCCAGCCAGATCCGCAGTTGTCTCTCAATAATTCATCTCAAAGAATAAAACAGTCCATTAAAAAAATAGTCTAAATTTAGACTTAATTAGGCAAGCGAAGGTACAATGTTGCAGCATCACACCAGCTTAATGATGGCTATATTTAAAGTCATTTTCAGCTTTTGTCGGTATTTTTAGGCTTTTATAAAATTTGCCTTCATTACCCTTTGGGATGAAGTTTATCATTTTTACCATCAATTTCAGGGGCTTTGGGTTTTTTTGCACTTTAAAAAATGCAAGACAAGTTTACAAATTTTAATGAGGTACCAGTATGTAGACACAAGCTCTGCATATGTAATTATATATTTGTGTGACTTTACATCTACATAACCCTCTTGATGAGCACACGAAGAAAGGCATAGGAACTGCATCAATACTAAGGAATTTGGCATAACACCTCTCAAAAACTGCAGAACTCTTAAGGTACATCTCGACTACAGACTTTTGTCGACAGAGGCTTTGTTGACAGATACTGTTGACAAAACGTCTAGACTACATCCAGTTCTGTCTACAAAGCAAGCTGTTTTGTCAACATGAGAGTGTAGACGCAAAGGACAGTGTAGATGCAATAACGCCTTCCGTCAACAGAGTTCTGTCAACAAAAGGCGTTATTCCTCGTGAGTGAGGTTTACTGCCGTCGACAAAACTGCCGAGTTCTGTCGACATTATGTCGACTGAACTTGGTGGTAATGTAGACGCAGGTATAGTTTTGTAGACAAAAGTCCACTTTTGTCGACAAAACCCTGTAGTCTAGACACACCCTTAGACTGCACATCCAAATACACCCTCACCCCATTGGTTAGTTGAAAGTATTTATAGCACATAAATCAGTGTACTATCCAGGGGCCAACATGTGAATGTGCACATCACATAGCCATACACATTAAGATAAAATCATCAACCTCTAACTTTGTTTTGTTACTCTCCTCTTTCAGAGCTACTCAGCTGGTATAGTGAAAAGTTATGGCATTAAATGCACATCAGGAAATTCCAGGGCGAGGGTCTCAATTTAATACTCCTTTTGATTTCTGACTGTTCTTGGTTTAAAATATCAACCCAAATACTACAGTAATATCATAAGGCAGGTGCAGGGTGGGAAGAATTACGTATTAAAGAATCATCAATTGCTGTTAATCAGCGAGGCAAACACAAAGGAAGAATGAATTTTTGATTGTTCTAAGAAAAAGACAGCTTCCTCCTCACATGTACACAGGACACTTAGAGGTTGCTGATGATTTCACCCCCTCTCTACACATGCATCTTATCTTATTTAATGGACACCACCAAAACCTAGGGCCACAGAGAGTAATACAGGAAGTCCACATTCCTGAAAGACAGCAGGCTTGATTCTTCTTAAACTACTATTGGAAAAATGGCCACATCAACCATCTTTGAATTCCAACCAATCAAACCCAGAAAAGACCCATCTACAATTTAGGGATGTAGGCAACTAATCGACCAGATGCTTTCCCCCCCGCACATGTTTCCTCTATCAGAGAGAGGCAGCAAGGAGGGAGAAGCAGAGAGGTTTTGGGGGAGCTGGCTTCAAAGCCAGTTCTACCCAGCTCCAGCTCCATGGGAAGAGGGGCGCAGCGGTGGTGTTTCAACTTTGAAATGTACAAAAGTCGCCGCTGGGGCTCATACATTTCAAAGCAGAAGCAGCTGCATGGAGCCCAGGGACCACTCGGCATTTCAAAGGTGGAACGCCATGCAAGTCCTTATTGACTAATCAAATAGTCAATAGAAATCTCATCAACTATTCAATTAGTTAATCGAAATTTAACATCTCCACTTCAATTCCATTCCTACTTCAGACCACATGAATTCCACATAGACACATTCCTCAGCCCATCAATCTGGCATACAGCAGATTCATGGACTCAAAGTCATGCTTAAGACACCCTTCATTGCTTAAACCTACTCATGAGATTCTTTCACAAATACTGACAAGCCCTACTCATGGATTTTCTCAGTCATATTACCCAGTCCAGAAAAGCCACAGCCACAAATTCCACCCGCCAACTCCACTTCCCGCCATACTGAACAATGAAGAGCAGCTCCTGAATGGAATCCCAAAGGCAACCTATAAGCAGCATGATGGAGGGAAGACTCCTTCATTTTCCTTGACAGTTTCTCAGTCTCTGGAAGCCTTGAGGACATTTCCCATTTTCTCTGATTCTCTCACACACAAATTGTACAAGTGTCCCAGGTCAGCTTAATCTCCCCTTTCCAGAGAGTCATTAGGGATGTAAAATCCCACTAAATCAGTTAAATGGGTAGGGAGCCTGTTCAGGCCGCATGACAGGAAGGCCTTAGGCAACAGCACAGTGCAACAGGTGGCTTCCCGGAAGTTGCTGCACGCCAGGAGCCAGGTTTTAAGACGGCTCCCCATGCCTTCTGGGAGCCTGCATGTAACCATGAACATTAACCAATGAGCCCAGGCTCATCAGTTAATCATGTATATTAGGGCTGGGCAAAATACCCTCCGGGAGCCACATCTAGCCCGGGAAGCTGCCAAATCCAGTACACAGACTCAGCAGGGAGTCTCAGGCAGACTCCCTGCTTGCCCCTCAAACACTGCTGAGAAAAGCAGCCATTGCAGGTCTCTGTTTGAACACCTGTGAGCCCGGGGAAGGGCGGAGAGGCTTCAGGCACTGCTTCCGCCCCCAGCACAATCCTATTAGCCGGTTTTCAGTCAATGGGAGCTGCCTGTCAGCAGCTTGTGAAGCACCCCACCCACTCCCATTAACCTCCTACCTGTTCAAAAACCACATGGCCCCTGCAGCCAGTGCGAGGGGGGGCAGGCAGGGGAGTCTGCTTGAGAAGGCTGCTGACTGGGAATCAAACAGATATGCCTCTCAGCCAGAGCCTGCCTCTGGCACCCCAACCCTTTGCCCTCTTACCCCGCATACCCCAAAACCTCTGCCCCTATAACCCTTCCCAGATCCTATAACCCAATCCCCTGCCCAAGGTCAGAACCCAAACCTCTGCACCACAGTCCCCTAACCCAGGTCACAACTGCCTCCTTCACCCAAACTCCCTCCAGACTCCACACCCACTCCTGCATCTCAATCCCTTACTGCAAGCTTCGTTCTACACCCAACCGCCATCCCAGACTCCACACCACCTCCATTAATATGGAAGAGTGTGGCCCTTGACCACTTTCCAAATTCTTGGAGTGTCCCCCCATCAAAAATTATTGCCCACCCTTGGATACACTTTCACATCCCTACTGAACACATCCACGAATAGCTTAAGTTCATCCTTTCCCAGAGCTCCAAACTTGTACACACTCTGGTTTATAGATTACTCCCTTCAAGGACATGTGATAGGAAGGGCAAGCAGACTTTGCAGAAAGATTTCTAAAATGAATACCCTTTACTTTAGGCAGTAAAAGAGATGCATAGATTTAAGTAGACCACCACCTGTCTGTTGTTTCCTTCCTCAATATTCTTGGCACTCAAATGTTCTTTTGGATTTGGGTCAGTGTCCTTTCAGGTTACAAAACCCATCTGTAGGACTGGACTTCTCCAGCTGAAGGCTTCTCCAAATCACAGCATCTCTCTCTGACCCCTGCATTCAAAATATTCCCTTTCAGGAAACCTGCCTCTGAGTCCCTCATCAACTTCTCAGCCCTCGTGTTTTTGAATCCTTGGCCGGATGACTAGTTTCTTTGTTACCCTTTGGGATTTTCCACTTTCAAGCCCTAGCTCTTTGCATTCAAGCTAGAGAAAACTTAACTCTGAGGATACAGTCATCTCACTGCTCTGCTGGGGCCCAACTGTACACTAGGTTTTTAAGGACTATCAATACCTCACCAGGCACCACTCACTGACTCCTTAGCACAAGTAGTATGAGGCAGGAGTACAATAAAAATACAAGCTT